ATGGCATGACGAAATGGAATCTTGTAATAACTGGGCAGATCATCCACATGGTAACTGCTGTTGGGTACAGGTGTTCCCTTGGTGATCACTAAAGACACCAACAGTTAATATCTTTTCTCTCCCCAAAATATGCAGTATCCCTGATTTTATTGTTCTAGGTAGGAATTTCTTATGGGAGAAAGAGAGGTGGTTCAATTTAAGGTTCAAGTAAAAGAAGTTGTATTTATGCAATAGTCAACTAGAGTTTTCAGTTCTCAAGCTCCTATAAAGCCTTCCAGTGTTTGAACTCGTTTTGCAAAAGGTTCCCTAAAGCCTCCCTTTTGGGCATGAACCTTCTTACATTTAATTATGTACATATATGGTGTGTTCTCTGTCTTTGTGAAGAGATGACTTAAGCGGACAGGTATGTGTCTGCAGAAGCAGTTTCTGGGTGAGGCACTTTGTGACCATTCTTGGGCTGGAAAGACTGCTCTCACCCAGAATTAATGATCTTGAAGACAAAGATGGGGAGACCTGAACAGTCTCAGAAGCCTTTTGGAACTTTGCTGATGTTTGCCAAACTCGAAGGACTCAGAGAACCTCACATGGCACTATTCCAGTCTCCACCCAAGCAAAGCTTGTTCTTGTGGGGTTTGGGAGCGCACATTTTGCATATGTGGTTTCACCGTTTCTTTACAGTGTGGAATTTCTTGAAATTTTCCTTTTGATGATCTGATGGTTAAATAGAAAGGACCTTGGAATAGTGCTGGGTGCTTAAAGTTACACAAAGTATAAGAGAAATGCTGCATCTGAGAACTATCATGTGCAAGAAAGCCTATTCCACACGGTGAGAAAGAGTTTTATTTGACAAGCAAAGCTCAGTACCTAGACTAACTGACCTTAGATCTAGTACTTTCTTGGGTACTAGAGTACATACTACATGTATGTCAGTACCTACTATATACTGCAGTTAAAGTTCAGTTCTTTTCTACATAATACACAATTATTCAGTGTTCTTTCTTGCCTTGTGTTTAGTTCTGTAGTTACCTTGGAAGATTTTCACATGCATCTTTAAAAAAAAAAATCTGTAGAAGTTAATATTTTACTGTTTGACTTAAGAGAATGCTGTAAGGCTTTTCTGGAGGGATGGAGGAGTGAGGGGCAGGTATTGTTCCTGCCTCATCGACTTGCTTTCTGCTTCTTCCTTTGGTGTCACTTCTCCCTCCCTGTATTGCTTCTCACTTCATAGGGACATTCCTGGAATTCCTCTTTATTTTTTCTTGGGTGATGAGTTAGCCCCCACATGCCTGTGATCACACCATGCACCCTCAAGCTTTGCTTTTCTTCCTTGCTCTGTGCGGTAGCTTGGGCTTTATAGGCAAGAATTCCAAGCTCTTAAATGCAGAATAAACACTTGCAGGTTACACTGGATTCACCCTCCCGCCCTCCACCCCGGGTCCCACACCCTCCCACACCCCGCCCAAAGGTCGTGCTTAGCCGATGGATTGTTAGATTCTTCCTGGTAGGACAGTTCTTTTATCAGTCTCTATCAGTTTTCTTTTTTTACTCTGAAAAAATACAGACCATGGATTTTTCTATTCGAAGTTTTAACCATGCCCTATCAAAAAATATAATGGGGCTTCCCTGGTGGCGCAGTGGTTGGGAGTCCGCCTGCCGATGCAGGGGACACGGGTTCGTGCCCCGGTCCGGGAAGATCCCACATGCCGCGGGGTGGCTGGGCCCGTGAGCCGTGGCGGCTGAGCCTGCGCATCCGGAGCCTGTGCTCCGCAACGGGAGAGGCCACAACAGTGAGAGGCCCGCGTACCGCAAAAAAAAAAATTAATAAGTGGTCTTGTTAAGTTTAATGACAAACTACTCTTGTGGTTGGTGGTTGGGCAAATTATGCTTATAACTAATAAATGTGGAGATCAGTTTTATTACTACCTTTGGACACTCTTGTGGATCTAAAAGCGCTGTTCGTTAGCAAAAGTAATAGGACAGATCAAAGTGTCACTCCTAATTAGATCTTGTTAAAGCTCTTAAAAATTACTCATGTACCTCAACAAGCAAGGTGGCATATTTCTCATGAACCTTAATATATATATATATTTAATATGTATTTTCATTCAAAACATTAAACCAAATAAAAACAAAAGCAGAATCAAACCTCCGTAAGAATTTGGTTTCAGTTGCAAACTCCACTTCGTGTTAAAGTCAGGCCAGTACCTACATTTTGCAGATATTTGGGTATACCCACTAAGTACAGAAGGCAGTTCCCTTGATTCTAGGAAGCAGGAGTCTCCAGCAGTGACAGAGGGCTGAAGAAGACAAAGCCACATCCCCTTTGTGGCCATAAAATGGGAGGGGGAGAGAAACCCAGTACACAAAGGGAGGGGTATTCTCTGCAGCCACGTGGTGGCTTGGAAGTTAAAACCATTCCTCTGGATTTTCCCAGTAGTTCGAATTTTAATTACTCTATTTTAGCACCCTTGTAATTCTCCAACTCTCTTTCCTTAATTTTGTGTCTGGAAAAGATGGTTTTCACTGTTACGTAGAGTAGTCTAAGATCAGAGATTAGCAGTGTGTACTTACTTTCATCTGAGTCAAAGATTATGTCCTGAAGGAATAAGACACCTGGAGAAGCCTGTCCTCCAAAGTTCAGGTCTGCTGGAGACTGGAAAATATCCACAGCGAGATAGTTTTCTTCCCAATGGGAGTGATTTCCAAGAAGGGAGATCTCTGAAGCCTAGTTAGGCTTCTGACATCCTGAACTGTTGGAACACTGTGACTTTCTAGATTTGGGGTCAGGTCATCTCCTGCTAACTTGGAAGAGTGGAGGAAATCCTCGTGTATGTGTCTGGTATTTGGATTTCCACTCTATGATCTGGAATTTTCTGATTCCATGTTTAGAAAAAGAGATGCCCCAATAATTAAAGCAGAAGCTGCGTCCAGGTTAGACTTTGGACATGGAAACAGAAGCTGCAATTCAGAAAGTCTGAACTTCACAGAACAAATATGGAAATGCCAGTGTATCCATGTATAGTGATAAGCCATCTCATTTCTGATCCTCTCAAAAATATTGAAGTTAATGAACTATTTGTGAATTTTTCTTGTAACCTCAGATTTTTTTTTTTTTGAGTGGCTGAGAAGGCAGCAGCCACAGCATGTCATTTTCAGAAAACAGCCTTTCAGAAAGAAGCTTTCAGAAACAGCCTATTCTTACAGGCCTTACTATTTTAAATGGCTTTTTTTTTTTTTTTTTTTTAACTTTAAACGCTTTAAGCTTTTGGAAAGTATCTTTTTGTTGTCAGTCTCTACTCCATCAGGGTCCTGATTCCAGATATGGGCAGGGAGCTGCTGTAGCTCAGGACAGATTCTGGCTTAGTTTTTCTATATTTATTCACACTTTTCTTCCTGATTCCTAGAACATTTCCCTTGCTTCTTGCTTGGTAGACACACCTGGCTTGAAGTTGTCACTTTCCATCCCTAAAGCAGCTGGTGAAAAAGCCACAGCATTCCTGGGGCTGCTTAGTGAATGCTAGGAACCCACAATATCCTGTGAAAAGAGGATGATGCACCCTAACTACGGACAGTAACTTTGAGATCTCAAGAGCAGCCTCCTGAAAAATGTTTTGATAATAGAAATATAAGAGATTATTTGAAAAGTTTCTTTAGTTCTTTCTCTTTCC